TCCTAGTAGTAAGGCCAGGAGCCCCTAGTAGCTTCTTGTTGCCAGTAAGGCCAGGAGCCCCTAGTAGCGTCCTTGTTCCTAGTAGTACGGCCAGGAGCCCCTAGTAGCTTCTTGTTCCTAGTAGTAAGGCCAGGAGCTCCCAAAAGGGGACTCACCACAAAAGAGTTGAATGTTCAACTTACGATCACAATCACTGCTGATTTATGTGTTCTTGCAGATGTTCAACTTCTGAACGGATATGCTCGTATTATTCGCTAATTATCGTCCATTGCCCTCCCTGATCACCAGAAATTATTGTCGAGAACCCATAGATCTCCATGACCTCATTTCTCTTCTTATGCAGGAGATGGTCCTCTTCATAGATCTTGCATTTCAAAAGGGGGGACCTCTTTGTACCAGGCGCCAGGCAGCGGATTGGCATGAACTCCGAAAAGACTGCTGAAACTGAAAGGCCCAGACCTGTAGGGGGGGTCTCCTCAAAGCCTTGGACGCCCTGCTACCCCAAAACAACAGAAAGGACGAGTCCCATGGCCCCTTCGAACAGCTGGCTCAATCAGTGCTGACCCAGCAACGCTCGGATGCCCGTGCCGCGCCCCAGGAATTCAGCTGACCAAGCCTCTCCAAAGAACAACACGCCAGGAGGAAGAACCATGAAATGCCGGGATCGGATTTCTGCATTTTGGTTTTCATATGTTATATGTTCTTTGTTTTTCAGCCACTGTGGGGATGTGAACACCCATGAAACCCAGGGAAAACGACACAGGAAACACAAAACAACATGTGTTGAGGATCAAGGTCAACAATGACTTTTTTGTGCGCGCGTTGTTTAAATCAATTATTTGTGTTTAAACCTGGATTTGCAACGGTGCCGATGGATCATCCCTCGAAAAGTGATGATTGGTGGATCGCAAAAGAAGCAGAAGCTCACACTGCATCAACATCAGGGGGGTTGGAGTACGTCGGGACCATTTCTTCCGTCGAGCGTCTCTGCTTAAGGTCACTCTCCACTCGCCAACTGGAAAATGAAGAACACCCCGACTTTCTATGCATCCAGGACTCCGGTACTCAGCCGAGTGGTGCCCTATGGTGCCCTCAAACGCTGAACATGTTCCACCCTCGCGCAGTGCGCGACTGCCTTCCTTTCTCCAGCTGGGTGTGCCACTCAAGCAGCGACTGGGCTGGGCGGGCCCAGTGGGCCCTATCGTGCGTGCTATGGCCAGGGCGGGAGGGATTAGATCTGACCAATTGGCCGTATTCTTTTTCACCCACGAGGGCATGTAATGTATATATATATATATATACTGTGCAGTAACCAACGGCTCAAGGCCAGCTACAGTCCTTCCACTGTTTGCCACATCACGCAATAGGTGGAGGCTTACAACGCACAAACGGCCTCAGAAGCCTCCACAGTGTTACAAAACCATCCTCAGGGATAGAAGATCTTAGAGCTTTGCACACTTCCCCAGAATCAACCTCCGTGAGGATTTGCTGAATTATATACACCAAATGCCAAAACCAATAGCTAAGTGCTCGCAAAAGGCCTCTGTACATGCTTCGGCCGCAGCAGTGGGTCAAACGGTCAGCTTGTGCCACGGTGCGAAGAACAAAGCTTGGCACCACACAGGCGCACAAGATGTTTCTCAAGCACTGGCACTTGGAACGCCAAATATTCCTGAAGGTGATGCTGGAGGAACACTTCATGCGCTCAACTCAGTATATACAGTAAGGAGTGGTCAAAGGTTCCCCCATGTGAAACATAAAAAGTATCATAGGTCGCCTCAGCCTTGTATCTCTACCCAGAGTTCAATGTCATCAAGCAGGTGTGCCGTGTGCCCATAAGAAGAAGATGCAGAATGCGGTTAAACGGCTCCGCATCAATGAGGTATAGAAGCAACATGCACATGGATGTACATGATGTATACCGGTTATATAAATTTACCGTTCACCAAGCCTGCTCATCTTTGAGCTCACCTCCAATCATTGGCTGAGCCGCTCTTACCTCTCCTTGTGAACATAGCATAACATAGCAACAAATTCCTGGATCATAGAAACACCTGAACTGAACTTGCTTGAGGTACGTCTGACTCAAGATCATATGAGACCATGAGACCATGGGACAAAACATCCTCATACACCGCCCACGTCGTCCGTCCTGGTAGAGCGGAGGATCCACGTTGACGTGGCCCGGTGCGAGGCCACTCGTTCGGCACCTCCCCGGAGCTGTGTAGACGATACAATCCGTGGACGCCCCATTTCTGAGCTTTGGAACAAACTTGTGATACGGACTGCAGCAGCAAGACAGGGCAGTGCTTCGGTGCTTCCGTTAGAACATGAGACATCTGTAAGATGGGTGCACTGTCGGGCTGAAGGGTTCGACAGGACACTGTCCAGGTCCTTCATTTTAGATATAGGACCAGCATGGTTTGGAGTCTCACACTTGGTCACTTCATATGTTTTCAAATGTTTTCATAGTTGTTTTCCTTTCTTCCACTTCGAATCGGTCTTCCTGCGGTTTTGGGACACGCTTCGCTGCTTGCTGCAAGTCTTCGTTCTTTCGCGGCAGTTCCGAACCCGGCGGGAACCCCGTGGGCCTCCGCGACGCGTTCGGCGAACTCCGAGGCTGCAAAGGAGGCCAAGCTGCTGGGGCTGCGGGTGCTCAGCGTGTCCTGGTGAGGGCACTGGCGGCAAAGGCCAGTCGAGTTGGGTGAAGGATTCTGAAATTAAAGCATCCAGCCACCAAGCGCTCGTTCCATAGTGATGCCATCAAAAGACAGGCAGGGCCGAAAACCTCTCCACCATTCTCCACTCATCTAATGTCCGGGCCTCCATCGTAGACTCAGGCACATGGGATTTTGCGGGCAAACGTGTCAACGCCATGGTCACCACTGAGAAGAACATGAGGGTAGCGCCCAGCATTGTCCGCACCCTTATCACTGTTGACTGCGGCAAGGGAAGGGCCAATGAAAACTCTGCGCCGGGTTGGAGGGCTAGACTGGAATCAGCTGAGGTCAATTCTGTGGCTGTCGATCTGGCTCTGAAACGCCTTCATTAGGAATTGATGGTACTCTGTGACTATGTCACTATGCCTTACTACCTGGCATTTTGTTGCACAGCTCTCACAAGTTCTCACAAGCTGAAGGAGCATAGTTCAATGTCTCTCTCCCTCGCAAATGTCCATGTGCTTGAAACTAGCCGATTCAAAAACGACTTTCACACCAGAATTCAAAAAACTTTGTTATTGCCATCTTCAAGCATACTAACCAGTAACAAAGCTCAGAGCATAGAAAATCTGCTAAATACATCCAAGTTGTCTTGGGCACCGAATGAAATACAGCGAAGTCCAACAAATACCTGCCAACCGCTGGGGAGCTGCCTGCCACCGAACAACCGGGTCCGCATGGTCTTGGTTGAGATTCCCTAATTATCCTAATTGCCATATCCGCAGTGATCTAAATGCTATCTACTCACCTGGAACAACCACGAAGACCCCACAAAGCCATATAAAGCCTGCATGGCTGTGGCCACCCCGCCACGTACTCCCCCACGACTCTGCGCGCCGTTCCGACCCTGTGGTCATTTGGGAGCCGGTCATCAGCGTGGAGCTTAAGGCGGCTGGACACTTCTTGGAAGCCACCATGGTCTCGGCTCCGGCAGTCAACGTCATATCCGGTGGATCTGGGGCTGGGTGCAAACTAAGAGAAAGGTGCTTGGCGTTCTTGGGCCCAAGCACAAAAAGAAGTCAAGAACCAAGCAAGTTAAACTTAACAAAGAAAGATTGTTTGGTATCATCATGATAATGTATCATCACTAGGCAAGCCAAATACTCCGCAAAGGACATTGAATACTCGTGGTTTTACTATATAGTATACTCGTATGTTGTGCTCTCTGGTGGGTTCCGACCCAAACGCACTCCCTTTCAGCGCCGTCCGGGCGCCAAAAGATTCGCCGCCGAGATGATGACGGTGAGCCCCAGGAACAGCAGCGCGCTGTTGCCCGGCGAAGCGGTCTCAGGGGAAAACGACGAACCGCGCAGCGCGGGCGAACCGGAAGAACGACCGCCCGAATCACCGACGTCCAACGGTTCGACCGACCAGTTCGACTGCTCCAGCAGGGAGGAGTCGAAAACCGGTCGGGTCTCCGGGTACCATGACCGA